GATAGTCATCCTCGCTCCACCCTGCTGACTCTCCTTTCTGAATGCCACTGTTTACTTATCTTTCTTTTGATAAAATCCTAATATTTTGTTTGCATTTCAAGTATTTTCTGGGTAAACAACAAAAACCTCAGAGTAAATGAGAGGCTTGTGAGGTAGTATTTTGCTCAGAGCATTGTTGGCAGTACACAGAAGTACAGAGCAGTTAGTAAGGATTGTCAGCACTGTGTGTACCACTGATGTGTGATGATGTGTTTCTGTGTTTATGTTGCAAACAGGATGTCCTGCTCTGAGACTCGCTTCTTATCTCAGGGTGTTTAGTAGTTTTCTGGTTCTCTTGCGAAATATCACAGTAAGACAACCTCCAAATTAAAAGTGCAGTTTCATACAACAGTGGCTGCTGTGCTCCCTTTTATTTATTTATTTTTTACATGAATTAAAGCAAGAGAAGCTAACTTTTTGGACATTGCACATAAAGTAAATCTCAAAGTACTTATTTCTTATACTCATCAGTATTTTCCCCCCTTTGATCAGTAGCATCTGATTGTTAYATTTCTTCATTTTCTTTTGTTTTTATTTTTATTTTTCCTCAATATCAATATTCTGTATTTTGACACAGAGCAGAAGCACTGAAGCATCCTCATGTGCTCCCATTTCCGACCATCAGTATTGGTGTGTGGCAGKAGACTTTGTGCAGACAGATGTGAAGCTGTCTGTGATGAAAGGAACAACCTCAGGACAAACACACACTCAGCCCCTCGTTTTCCTCTTCTCCATTATTCTCTGCTCGTCAGAGTTTCTCGTGTTTAAAAGCATTTATTATTGTTCCTCGGTAAGCTCAACTTTTCTTCTGTCTGGATTTTAGTTAGTAAACTCTGAGAGGACGGTTTTTATTTCATTGTCGGTGTAGATTCTCAGTCATCCAAGACATGGAAAATTCCAAAAATAAAAAAATAACAAAACAACTAGAAGTTTCTCTTCACACCTGAGGAGCTTTCTCAATTCAAAACAGTGAATTTCCAGCCTTTTAAACTGCTGAGTTCATGTATTATGATTCATACGAAGGGCAGCTTTTTCTACACTTTTGCTTCAAGGACAAGGAGGGTGTACGAGACAAAAATTCATCTACATTTATTTTCAAAGATTACAAAGCATAGTTTCAGTTTCTCTTTAAATAAAGCGATTAAGGAGAGAGGTTGTAAAATGAGTCATTGTGAGTACTCCCTCCTCAAGGAGGAATCAGATAGTTTTTAAATTATCCTAAGTGCTTCCTACCAAAGGGCCTTATAGGGTCTTTATTTTGGGCTTGATGGAGGTGTTAGCTTTAGCGTCCAGCTGTAGCACTGTTTGCAGCTTCATTTAGTAATGTTCATTTAACCAAACATTTATTAAAGGAGGAGTATTATGTGTTTTCCAGGCACATAGTAACTATGTTACCTTCAGTTGTTCAAATAATGCTGTGTATAAAAAAATAAGTTTGACTTTGCATCAAAGTCTAAACACCTTGAAATCAGCCTCTGTCTCTTTAAGAACCTCCTACCRTTTCTGACACTCCCACTTCAGCACGTCTTCACAACAAAGCTTCGAGGGAGGGGCGGTCTGTGTGGCGGGAGCTCGGCTGCAGACTGAGCTCCAGGCAGGAGCTTTRYRTAAATGGGCGGAGCTTTGTACCAGCAAGTGTTTAGGCAGTTCCATGTTTATAGGAGATTCAAGGATTTATTAAACATAAATAAATGAGTCGGTGCAACAYTCAGGGTATGYTTTTAATGAGGGAATATTAGAACATGATATAAAGCTCAAAAAATTWGATTTTGTAAAATACCCCCTCCCTTCAAATAAAGCATTAAATTAAGGACTAACTGAACAAAAATTTATTTGAACATAACACTTAAAACTTAAAATAACATGATGATGTACTAATCATAACTGTGTTTGCCTGAGGCCTTCTTTTTAAAATGCTCTGTTAGGCTGTGATATTTTTAAACTAAAGCCTTAAAATAGAATATTCCCTGTGGATGAGAATTCAAAGATTCTTGTTTTTGATCTTCTGCTTTTCTCTCCAKTTTCACCTGCAGATCAGAGCAGCTTGTAATGTGTCCCACAAATCTAACTGCACCGTGCTGCATATATTGTATCTTTTAGTGTTGCAAATCATCTCGAAACAGTGTGCCATCATTTTACACATCAGAACATCACATCGGATCACAGCTTCTTGGCCCGTCCATTTTCTGCTTCATCAGAATCAATCAKAGCCATATTTCTGCATGTTTCACCCCGTCCAGTAAATCTGAAGCTAGCCGTCATTTTTATTATCCATTAGAGTTTTTGAGGTGTTTTTAGGTGTTAGGAAAATAAAACAAACATAAGCAGCCTGTAGATAATTTTATATTTTTTTTTCTAATATAAAAAATTACTTATGATTTGTGAAGGTGTAGTTGATTATATACAACATCTTAATACTAAACCCTACATACTTCTTTTTGTTTGTTTTTTGACAAAGAAGCAAAGAAACTGTGGCTAACATGGCAGATTGTTGTTTTATTTTGATTAAAAACCAGGCTGCGCTCAGGGGTTGATCATAAATAAGGTGGCATTACTTTCTTCTGTCACCCCTCCTCGTCACATATTTCTCTCTGTCAGCGTCTAAATCGGATCAGCCGAACTCTGTAAGCAGCTTAAAACGGCAAAAGAATTCCACGGTGCCTTAACTTGATGAGCGCAACAGGCAGTTGGGTAGCTTAAGGCTTTCTGGGGATTTGGGGCAGAATTTGAATTTCTCAGCCTTTTTACACACCCGAAGCAGCAGAGCAGGAGCGACGGCTTCAGGAGAAACAGGAAGAGGAGAGACATTTGGTGCTCAGTGGCTGAAAGATTAATCTGATTTTCGCCAAAATGCTTCAACTGAAAAACTAAACTAAGCAGGAGAAGTGAATAAAGGCAGACAGATTATTTAAAAGCTTTAAAATCCTGGAGACCATCCTAAAAGGATTTATGAAGCCTCCAGAATGTGACGGCGCTTTGAAAGACCTGCATGAGGAGGGAGTCAGTTTGTTGTATGAATTAAAATGAGTTGCACAAACACGTGTAAACTCACCTTTACATTAACATTTACTAATTCTGTGCAGCTGTAGGTCAACGTTTCCAGTTTTCCTCTTGGGCTGTGAAGTTTCTAAATAAAACCGATGCTTGTGTGTCTTGGCTGACCAAGGATTAGCAACAAACCGTATCTGCTTTCTTCTGGTATTTAGAAATTAGAAGGACTGAAACATTTTCACAAAGTTGAGATGCTTTGAGTTCCTTCTGTTGCAAAGATCAGCGTTGGTTTACATCATCGTTTTCTCAGGCAATCAACCGTAGCAACGTGTTTTCTCCTGCTTTGTTTTGTTTTTAGCTATGAACATACAGATTTGTAGAGTAACAGTATTAAACAGAGGTGGAGACTCGAGTCACATGACCGTTAACACCAATAAAGTGCCTGTGACATGCGTATCCTTCAGATACAAAAAGTCAAAGAAAACTTTATTCTATTTAAGAAACATGGCATGCCACATTTTTTTACCCATTTGGACACATAACTGACCTATTTTCTTTTGAACTTGGCAAAAGGGAAATAGGAAGTGACATCAAAGGGTAACTCCTTCAAGAAAAAGTACTCACTGGTCTTTACTGAAACATTATGATTTGAACTCTGAATTTTTGTTTCTGTCTGATAACAACTCAAAATAATCTAAACATTAGATTCCTCTCCACAGTCTGGGCTGCTGAGCATTTTAGCTTAGCTTTGTTTTCATGCAGACATTCCCCTTTGACATCACTTCCTGTTACTTAACATGCAAATATCTCAACCACTATTCATCTCAGCAGCATGAAAATTATTTTGTAATATGTCCTCCATGTTATCTTTCCAAAAATGCATTTGTATTATTAAAAAAATGATGTCACAGGCACTTTAATATTATAACTTTAGACTTGGCTTGAAAAAATGTTCAGAGACTTGTGAATTGACTTGAACTTTTACACCAATGACTTGAGACTTGA